AAGGGCTGTGGATGAATGAAAAGATGACAGAAACGAGGATTTGAATACAAATCTGTCTGATTCTAAACCACATGCTTTTAACCACTGAAGCACCAATCAAATCAACCCATAAGGGCAGGACTATGTCCCTGTTATTTAACTCCTTATACTCAGAACTGCATATAGAATGCGGTATGAACACACACACACACACACACACAATTGGGTGAACACTGACTAGAAAATGTGTACAATTATTAAACAGTAAATCCAAAATGGAGGAAGACAGTAAGGTGAGCAAGAAAAGAATGGTGAATACACCTCAAGGGCTTAGGCCATGGAGAAACCCTGAGTAAGGGTTCAGCACTGTCCAGTGGACAGCTCCCCTCCCAGCTGTTGGGCTCCTGGGGGCCCCTCCCCAGCAGAAAGGGGTTCAGACAAATTCAGAGAAACTGGGAGTGTCCACAAGGGTCTGAGATGGAACAAGAGTGGCTGCCTTCGAGAAGACAGACTGACATCCCTTAATCGTGCTCTTCCGATCAAGTCCGCAGGGACAGGCTTTGTTGGCTAAAATCAATCGACACTGTAGGCAGTCTGAGGAAGAGGGCAGGCCATAGGGTTTCCTCACGTCGACTGGGGAGACTTGGAAAGTCCTGCTGGAACAGCAGAGAGACCGAAGAGACCAGAATCTGGGACATGCCAAGGTGAGCTGAAAGAGCCCCTCGCCTGACTTGCCTGAGATTCCACCATTTATGGTCATTCTGAGGGGGCTTCAGTGCAGGTGGATGCATAATCTCAGCCAGATGGGATAACTCGGGGAGGAGAGGAATGGGATGCAAAGTGATCAGAGAGGGAGACAGAGTCATTTTGGAGAAAATAGCATGTGCCTGGGTGTCTAGAAGGCATGGGGGCATCCTGAAGAGCTGGAGACCAGGGTGAGGAGACTGCTCCCTAGACAGGACCGTGGAAAGACAGAGTAGACTGGACTTCCTTCATGATTTTGCTTCAGGCACTTCATGTAATGAAGGCCAGGTTTCTACGCCATGCCTCTGCCAATAACTTCTCAGTTGACCATCACTGACCACCTGATAAAGCCCAGACTCTCTTGTCTGACCAACAATGACCCTTGACAATATCCTCAGCCTGTGTTCTTGACACATGGCATCCTTTGTGCTCCAGCTACTCTAAACTAGCCATGCAACCTCATCACTGGACTTTTGTACATGTTACACACAGTATAGGTTGCCCTTCACTCTTTCTCTTACCTAATTCTCCAAACTGTCCCATGGGGCTCAACTCAATCATCATCCCTTCTGAGGAATCTTCCCTGAATGCCTTACCCTCAACCTGACTGCAAACACTTTAAGGGTGTTCCCTGGGGTGTCCCAAAGCCATCCCTCTGCATGGAAATGGCCTGTTTTAGTCTTTCCCTCACCCTGTGAGACTGTGTTCTGTCCATCCCTGTATCTCTGACACCTAGCATAGGATCTGGTGCAAAGCAGACACTTGGTTAAAGCTGACTGGAATCAAAAATAGATTTTAAATTAACATCATGGATGGTATATTCTGTACAGAAATTCACCAGACGCTCCGCCTATCCTCAAAGGGCTCCCATTCCAAAGTCTTATGTGAACATGAAAAGACGCTCAACATCATTGATCATCGGGGAGATGCAAATCAAAACTACACTGGGATGCCACTTCATACCCCTTAGGATGGTTCCTATCCAAACAAAACAGAAAATAACAAATGTTGGCAAGGATGCAGAGAAACTGGAACCCATGTGCCCTGTTAGCTGGAATATAAAATGGTGCAGACGCTGTGGAAAATAGTGCGGCATGTTCTCAAAAAATCATAGACACAGGATTACCACATGATCCAGCAATCCCACATCTGGGTAGACACCCCAGAAGAAATGAGAGCACGATCTCAAAGATCTCTACACCCATGTTCACAGCATCATTTTCCACAATAGTCAAACGGTGGAAGCAACTCAAGTGTCCATTGACCAGTGGATAAGCAAAATGCTGTGTATAAAGACACAGTGGAATACTATTCATCCTTAAAAGGAAAGAGGTTCTAACACATGCTAAGATATGGATGAATCTTGAGGAATTATGCGAAGTGCAGTAAGCGACACAAAAGGACAAGTAGTGTGTGATTCTACTTATATGAGGTCTCTAGAGCAGCCAACTCCATAGAGACAGGAAGTCGAATGGTAGTGGCCGGGGGCTGTGGGAGAGGAGAGAATAGGGAGTTAGTGGTGTCTAATAGGGGCAGAGTTTCAGTTTTACAAGATGAAAAAGGTGTGCTGGAGTCGGATGGTGGTGCTGGCTGCACAACAAAATGGATGTGCCAAATGCCATTGAACTGTATGCCTAAAAATGGTTAACGTGATATATTTTATGCCTCGTACTGTGCCACAACAGTTTTATTTGTTTGTTTGTTTGTTTGTTTTTTAAGAAAAAAAAAAGCCCTTTGTGCAGGGTCTGAGAGCCTGAGTTCAAATCCCAGCTCCACCAGTCCTTGGCTGGTGGTGATGGCCTCAGTTGTCTCTGCTGTAAAATGGGTATGATTCCCAGAGTGGGAAACCTTTATCTTTTGAGGTCTGTTTCAGGTGAAGAATCTGAAATTTTTTCACATCGTGCCTATTTTGTGATGAGAGTTTGCACATATGCGGTAAAAGGCATATGCTATTTTCGTTCGAGAAATACCAAGTAGCCAGCAGGTGCCCACCAAACGCGTGTAGGTAATTGGGAAAGAGTCTTGATTAGGTACCACGTATTAGGCACATGGGGGACCTCATCAAAGGCCCCTTTCGCACCCTGACAATGCGTTCTCTCTGCTGCCATCTAGTGTCTTGTGGCAATATTGACCTTTCCTCGCTGTCAAACTTGTCTTATTAAATCCTGAGGTCTTAACTGCTTTGCACACAGAGGCTGACAGTTTGCCCACCCAAGCACGTGTTCATGTATAATTCATGGTGTATCACGTTGCCTGGCAAATGAATATTTATCAGCTTTTTCATAAGAGGCAGGCTGGTGTTTCCTTTTGTTGCTACCAAAATTCTATGCTGTAGCAAATGAAATTTGCGAGCAAATAAAAAGAGAATGAGAAGAAGAGAAACCTCCCAGCCAAGTCCATTCCACTTGTATTTTTCCATTTATCTGAGGCCCCCCGGCATATGCATGGAGGTGGTTTCGGCTTGGCTACAACAGAGGACTGCCGAGTCCTCCAGAATAGAATCATTCCATATGCTGTACCTCTTGCCCCCGCAGAACACACCCCCACACCCCTCTTCTGTGCTGTGTTCAACTGAAGAAGAGCCCAAGACCTTTTCGATGGCTCCACTCCAGATGCTCTGAACACAGACCAAGTTTAGGGGTGACCGAGGACAAGGAACCCCAAATGGAGATTGGTACAGACTGGCTGGTGGCGTCAAGCCCAGGCAGTTTCATGACTTCCAAACTGGGCTGCCACCAAGAAAGGGGATTTCCCTGAATCACACTGGTTGGGTCTGATATCCCCTCCCCATAATGAGTTAGGAGGGCCATGTAGAAGGGGCTACCTTGTCTACAGGAGGTGACCTGTGCCCTGGTCCCTACAGCAGTGAGGAGCCATAAAGGACCTGAGAATTGTGACTCTATTTACTCTTCTTGCCTCATGACTCATTGACTGAAGATTCCAGTGATGACGATCTCAGACACACCTGGGCACACTCCCATGGAGGTGGAGTCTCAACATGGTTGTGAGCATGGTGGCTGTTGCTATCATTCTGGCCTTGCAAGATGCCGATGACAATACTAACGTTCATGCTAATGACAGCAGTGCGCATACACTGAGCCCTTACAATACAGCAGGGCCCATGTCAAGCCTGTGAACTCTACCATTGCATGTAATCGCCAAAACACCCTCTGGATGGAGGCATTAATGCCGTGCCCACTTTACAGATGAGAAGACTGAGGCAGAGAGATGCCATCACTTGCTTATGTTCACGCACCCCCCACTGGGAGTCAACCACAGCTCTCTTTGACTCTGGAGCCATGCTTGCTCAACTGCCCTCCCTGGAAGCAACAAACTTGGGTCCAAGGGCAAAACCCACAAATGCCTGGCTGCATGGTCTTGGGGGAGTCAGTTCATCTCCCCGAGCTTCCATTTTCTCATCTGTAAAAGGTATGCAACAGCTCTCGTTTTGCAAGGCTGTCGGGAGGATGCAGGGCTTTGCATATTCTAAAGAGTTCTGAGATCATCGATGAGCCAGGGGCCATTCTCGGCAGAAAAATGTATTGATATTTTGACACTGGAGTAAAGACAATGTTCCAATCATAGGAGTTTATCGTGGAGTTGGAGAAAGGAGACACACTGGGGCAGAAATACATGGGTAGGTATTTGTATTCATTCATTCATTCAAGGGACAATTTTTTGAGCCTTTGCTGTAAGCCAGAAAACTCATAGGAAATGTTCGTAATTTCAGAGAAGGGAAGTGCACACACATTAGTACAAGATATGTGAGGAGAGGGTAAGCCCTGAGCTAGCATCTGAAGAGCAAAGTGATACTATCCACACAAAAACTGGGGAAGAGTGCTCCAGGCACAGGGAACAGCTAGTGCAAAGGCCCTGGGGCAGCATTCACAGTGATTCCCTAAGGTGGGGGCTTTGGTGTGAAGCACTTCCTGAACACTGGGCACCATGAAGCTTTCTTTTTCACGGACTACCCCCAGGTGCTGGTGCTGGCTTTTCATCTTGCGAGAGGCCTTTCTAGTGGGCACATGCTCTTCTCATGGCCCTAGTTTTCCTCCTGCACTTCCTCACACAGAGTTTCAGGAGGGTCATTCCTAAGTGACCAGTGCAGGGGGTACAGGCCGGACCAAGGATCTGAGGCAAACCTCACACCACCCTCACCTTTGCCCCCCCTTTGTCTCCGATCCCCGCACCCCTGCTGATCCAGATGCCTCCTGGGGCAACCCCCTCTGGAACAGAAGCACCCAGGGACCCACTCCCTCCTGCATTGCCCCACATACCTTCCTCTCGTCTATTCCTTCAGAGGCCAACATGAGCTTCTTTGCGAGGAGAGGGTCGAGCATCTGGAATCGCCGGCGGAACTGAGTGAGTCCCACGTGCTCAGCATAGCCTGGGAGGAGGGCCCAGAGCAAGCAGAAGAACAAGGGGTTCAAGTGAGAAGACCAGCTCAGGGCCTGGCCTCGCCGGCAGCCTCCACCCTGCTCCCAACCTGACAGCGAACTTGTGGGTGGACTGACTTTTTAGGGTCTCAGTTTCCCCATTTGTCAACATCGGAGATTGGGTTCAACCAGCATTTCCCAAATGTGTTCCTCAGAACACAAACCCTATGAAACATTCCACAGATTTGCCCTCTGGAGGGTCACACCGTGTGCCAGCATCGATGCCAAAGGCTCTGCGGGCCACTGCAGGGAAGCTGCCAGATTGGCTTTACTTAAAACCTGTTTGACATGGGAAAAAATTTTGGGGGGGGGTCCACTATGTATGACCACCCCATAGACTGCATGTGGGAAATACTGCATGTGGGGGTTTTACAAATCTAACATGTAGGATGGACACAGGTATATTCTGTGTGGAACCTGGGCAGAGGCCTCTGGAAAACTCCAGAGAGGTGACATTAGAGCCAACCTCTGAAGTAGCCAGAAGAGTTTGGCACAGGAGTGAGTATGGAAGGGAGGTCTCAGCAGAGGGAGCCAGACAGGGGTCACACAAGGGTGGGATGCTTGGTCACAGCGCTTATGTGCACAAGACATGAGGTTAACAACTTCCTTGTGTTATAGACAGTCAGGGGCCACCATCATTGTACCCATTTTGTAGACGTGGAAACTGAGGCCTGGAGAGTTCGAGTCACCTAGCCCAAAGTGACATGGATAGAAACTCCCTCAGCTGGGATTTAGACCCAGACAGTAACTGTAACTAATCCACTGGAGAGTAGCCAACAATGAGGTCAAAGATGAGCAGGGACAAGATCCCAAAGGAACTTGAAGTCAAACTCCAGGCCTCAATGTTTGGACTTGGTCCTGGATACAAGGGCCATAGAAAACGCTCAATTGTTTAAAAGGAAACTGGCGGGCAGCCCCGGTGGTGCAGCAGTTTAGCGCTGCCTACAGCCCAGGGTGTGATCCTGGAAACCTGGGATCGAGTCCCATGTCGGGCTCCCTGCATGGAGCCCGCTTCTCCCTCTGCCTGTCTCTGCCTCTGTGTGTGTGTGTGTGTGTGTCTCTCATGAATAAATAAATAAAATCTTTTAAAAAAATTATAAATAAATAAATGGAAACTGGCTGGATGGGGCAGAAAGTCTGGTAAAATCTGACTCTACTTTGAGACTTCACAAGAAGCCAAATACATGAAGCATGAGGCAGAGTGATGGTGGTGGATATGTGCGGTGAATCTAGGAAGACTTCCTGGGGGAAGAAGGGCCTTAGGCCAGGTTCACAGGATGCTGACCACACAGAGATGGGGGTAGGAGGTTATAAGCATGCACTTTCAGGTCAGATTGATGTGGGTTCACGTCCCATTTTTACCCTTCTTTGCCCTCTGACCCATCACGAATGACCCCATCTCTTTGAAATTTAAGTTCTTCACTTGTCAGGTAAGAATGGGGTCACCATAAGGATTGAATCTGATGATTTATGTAGTAAAAGATGCTAACATGTATGGATGCTTTCCCACATCCAGGAAATTCTTCTATGAAGTCTTTATTAACTCATCAAACTGCTCATTAGCAACCTGAGACCTGAGCTATTAGGGCAGACGAAAGAGAGGCATGATCCGGGGTCTCACTCGGTGCCGGCCACAGCCAAGCCCAGGCTGACCGGCTCCGGGATCTGAGCCACGCCCACCAGGCTGTCCAATGCGTAATGTGTGATGAGCATTTGCTATATGCCAGGTGCTGTGCTAAGGGCTTGGTAAGGATGACGTCAGTTAATATATGTAATGACACAGTGCCAGTACATCGTAGGCACTCGATACCCTGCCCACATACGTGTGCATTATGTGTGCATGTGGGTATATGCATAAATGCACCAAACATGCACGAATTCAAATTCATAAATATTTGATAGGTGTGTATATCCACATGTGCACAGACATATTTCTTATACAGTGTAAGAGAGACAGAAACCACTTTGAGCAGAAAAATGAGGAACTAACCAGGCCAGGGAGGCAGAAAATCGGAAAGTTCCACCATGAGGCATCAAATCTTTACCTGGTTGGAAAACTTATCCTGCCCCAGGCGGGCTGCACTGAGAATGCACAGGGCAGACACCGCGGAGAGGACCGAAGGCCGAGGACTGGGAAGGGACAGCGGACCCAAGCCTGCATGCAGGGCTCCTAACGGATAGTCCACGGCGTCTGCAAAGGCCCAGCGCCTCCTGCCAGCCAGCCAGCCAGCCAGTCAGCCAGCCGGGCTGAATCGATTGGCCACCGCTGTGACCATTCTGCTCTTCCCCTGTGACATTATCTGTCACCCTTCGCTTGCGGTTGTGCAGGCAAGAGGAAAAATCAATGAGATGCTCAGAGAAGTGAGGGTCTCTTCTCTGCTTCCAGCTGCTTCCAGCCTGTGTGTCACATACCTAGTGCTCTGGGTGCTGGCTATTAATGCGGCAGGAGGAAATGGGACCACAGCCACAAGCCGGGCATCAGTGACCACAGAGAAGTTAAATGAACAGGTGCCCCCCTCACCAGCCTCCCCCCACCCCACCCCAGCTACCCCGTCCCCTGCAGAGACTGTGACCGTGCCTGAGCCATTTCTAATGTCAAGGAGGGGAATCCACTCGGTGGCTCCTGGGGTCCCAGAGGCAGAAAAGAATCAGAAGGATTCAGAGCGAACTTAGCTACTAAAATGAGCTTATGTGGAAAGCTTGGGTGCAGGCTTACTTTCTGAAATATTGACCTAAAGACTTTGTTTCTCGGATTAAAATCCCATCCAGCCCCTGCCACCTCCTTACCACCTTAGCTTGACCCGCTGAAAGCCAAACCTCCAAAATTGGCCCTCACGGCCTTCCTTGGTGGATGGCCTGCCGCATCAGCCACAACTGCCCTGCATTTTGAACCCCAGTCCCTGAAAATCCAGGCTCTTCCCTGCCTCTGGGCCTTTGCATATGCTGATCCATATGCCTAGCGTTCCATTTCCCAGACATGAGCTGCTGGCATACAGCTGGTGCTCCTGTCCCTGGGTGCTACCGGTCAGTGGGCATGTCCATGGACTCAGACATAAGGTGCCCACTCCCTGGCTGTCTCTTACCTGCCCTGTGCAGACGCAGTGCCTCCAGGATGTGGGACCCCGCAAGCTGCACCCTCAGTGCCGGGATGTCCAAGGTCAGCAGTCCGCCTGTCCCTGGCTTATCTCTGCCAGTCTGTGGTGGGGTCAGAGGCCCCTGCCCAACCCTGCTTTCCCCAACAGGGCCTGGCACAAGGCAATGGATGAAGTGTACCTGGGACCGTCTAATTATGCTGGTCAATGCATCCTAGGACCAAGAGGAGAGAGGGATGTCAAGGCCCGCTGCTTTGGGATGATATGGACAGGGATGCTCCCCAAATGTACATTCAGCCTCACCTGGGCATCCTTGGGGGTCTCCATGTCCTATGCCAAGGACTATGCCTATCTACGGCCTGATTGATGCTCATGAGAAAAAAGGGGGAAAGGGCTGTTCTAACAGCCCTTGTAAGCACTGGGGAGACTGAGGGCAAGCAAGACCCCATGTCACCCAGACCCCTAGCAAAAGAGGCAGGCTAGAAGCCAGGACCCAGGCCTACAGGCTTCTTCTGTTTAATAAGCTATGAGGATTTGTTTTTTTCCCCCAAAATGTGTTCTCCCCATGCCCCACCCTCTGGACTCAGACTGACCACTGACCCACCAAGGCATTCTCATTTGTTATTGGATGAATTTCCATCCAGTTGTAGATCCTGCTGCCTTCCCCAAGGAGAGCCTCGTGGTGAAAATGAGGCATGTGAGAGCTGAGACAGGGCGGGGTTTTGCTGTGATATTCGTCACCCTGTCAAGAAGGTATTCGGAGGGGATGCCTGGGTGGCTCAGTGGTTGAGCGTCTGCCTTTGGCTCAGGGTGTGATCCCAGGGTCTGCGGAATGAGTCTCACATCAGGCTCCTCAGAGGGAGCCTGCCTCTCCCTCTGCCTATGTCTCTGCCTCTCTCTCTTTGTCTCTCATGAATAAATAAATAAAATCTTAAAAAAAAAAAGAGGGTATTTGAGGATCCTGGGACTTTCCAAAGCTGCTCAAGGCCACACAGAGGAACCTAGGCTTTGGCCTTGGATGTGGATAGATAACTCCCCAGGTATTTGATGGTGGACGTTTCTCTGCTGCTCTGAGCCTCAGCTTCCTCCTCCATGGAAGGCAGGGTGAGGTCTGCCCCTGCAGGCTCGCGGAGGAGTTTCAAGATGATGTGGGCCGATAACTCATCCTGGAGAAGGAGTGGCAGTGGAGGCCAGGGCTCCATGGAGTTGGGGCTCCTGCTCACCATCTGTAGCTTGATCTGGGAGCACGGGGCTCTCCTCTTCACCGTGGCAAAGCTGCTAGCAAACGCCCTCCTCACGGCGCAGCTCCTTTGCAAGGCCTGCTGGGAGGTGCCCTCCAGGCCAGCCACGGCCCGGCACACAGGGGGCACCTTGGCCCGGGGCTGGCATAGGAGCCTCAGATCCTCCCTGGCAGGTAGGACGGGGAAGAGAGAAGGACTTTAAGGACTCACAGAGAATGGGTCCCCCTGCTTGCTTCTTGCTAACCTGCTCCCTGAATCCACCCCTTGAGTCACACATCCTGGCTGCTACGCTTTTATCTGCAGTCCCTTCTGCCAGACAAGTCTTTGCTTCACGGCAAATGCCAGCTTGTTTCTCCAGGCCTCCCCCTCCTCTGACTTTAGAACAGCAAGAGCAGCAAGAAGCCCAGCTGGATATTGTTGTCACTAAGAGGCCTGTAGGAATCCCACTGAGCCTGCACTTTCTTAGAGAGCAAAGCCATCTGGGTTCTCCCTAGAACAGGTCCAGCACATAGTAGGCCCCTAGGTCTGGCACATAGTAGGCGCTTACTCTATAGTTCATACAAGAATGACTAAGTCAGGGCCTGAAGAGGCCCCACAAGAGCATCAGTGAAATGCCTGGCCCAATATCCAGCGGCAGAGGGGGCCTTCTCAGTACTCCTGTAACACACAGCTGTGGGGCCGGGGCTCCCTGAGCATCTGCTCTGATAAATCTGAGCTGCCTTGCCTTCCCGTTTGGGCCAATAAGGGTGAAGAAGGCCAGGAAGACCCTGCTGTGCCCTGGATGGGGCTGGAACCCAGAGAAGGCCTGGTGCCTCCCAGGTCCCATCCATCCCCTCCCCTCCAGTGAAAGCATGCAGACAATTTCCATCACTTTCTCCAAGTCCAGACTGCACCGTCCCCAGCCCTGAAGGTGCGTTATCCACCTCCCTCTATGCCTCCCCAGACTATCCAAACTATTGAGGATCTTCATCCACACGATCCAAAGGTACTTAAAGTGGTTAAATGCATGGCAGGCCACAAAGATTACCAATGGCTTGACGTCACTGGCATTAAAATAAGAAGCTGGGAAGGAGCTGCAGGATCCCCCCTGGAAGCAGGAGCTGTGAGAGGAGAGGTCAGGGCCCTCAGGCTGTGGGCACCAACCCCTGGCAGAGGGAGAAGAGGCTGCCCATAGCCCTGAGCCCCATATGTGGGCTGCCCCATCTCTAGGGTGGGATCTGACTTGTAGTTTTTAGGGGAAAATGTACCCCTGGACAGGTCATGTCTGCTTTGGGTCTTCGCTTGATATATGTGGAATGATTGAATTTGACCAAAGCAGTGGAACTTTAGTGTGCATAGGCACCTCCAGGGAAGCCTACCGGCAAAACAAGTCCCCTGAGAGATGGGGTGAGACCCGCAAATTGGAATGTTAGACCAGCAGTGAATCTGGGGAATCTGGCACTCCTGGGGATAAAACCACATTCTACAAAAAAAAAAAAAAAAAAAAAAAAAAAAAAAAAAAAAAAAGCACTGTCTGCTCTCAAAAATCACCAATGCTTCGCTCTCAAGCACACAAGACATCCTCATGGAATTTACCCTCAAACCTGCTGGGTTCTTTCACTCCCACGGGCCATGACCTTACACACATGGTTCCTTCCTCCCAGAATGTCCCTAACTCGCTGGGCCGTCAGATCAACAAAGCTTGGCCTCCCTCTTTCCTAATCCCCCATCTCTTGCCCAGGGGATGCAGGCCGTGGGATGTTAGAGCAGGAGGACTCATGAGGCCACAGGTGTGCAGTGAGGGCCTGCAGTGAACCAGGCTCCTTAATAAGCCACAAAGCCTCAGAGCACACACATACTCCTGGCCCCACCATTCCCACTTCTCAGAATGTGAAACTGAGGCCCGCATCATGCAGCTTGAAAGTGGTGAAAGCAGAAGTTGAATAACTGCCTGACCCCAAGGTGTGCAGTATCCGCCCGATTCACAGCCCAGGCCAACAAACACTCATTTTATGGTGGAGGAAGCAAAACAAGCAAACAAACCCAGGGGAGAGAAAGTGACTGCCCGCAGTCACCCAGGTGAGCAGCGGCAGGGCTAGGACTTCACTCAGGTCCCCTGGCTCTCCACACTGTCCTCTGTGTGCTCATGGACCTTCCTTCTGGTGCCCCACCCCACCCCACCCCAGCTTGACCTCCTTACACGAACTGCGTGCCCTTGAACCCACATACGGGCTTTCCAATCGACTCAGACCCACATGCCAAGAACTTCTGCAAGGACCATGTAGACCCAAATGGATGCCGGTGCTGCCTCTCTTTTCCTGCGTGATCAAAGGAAGGCCCCTCCACTGCCTGGGGCCTTCACAGCATGGGTAGCCAGTACGTGCCTCCTCCCCCTTCACACGTCCCCAGCACCTGCCTGGTGCTCTCGGTTTCTCTCTGGTGCCCTAGCTCTGCCCCTGCAAGGCTCCAGCAGCAAAGCTGGGAGGATCAGCATGCATACTGGCATGCACATGCACACACCCACAGAAGCATTTTCCAGTAACTGTGGCCTGCAGGCCGCGCTTGCTGCCAGCACTTCTGAGCACAGCCGTCAGGGAATGCAGTGCGCTTTTTTTTTTTAACACCACAAAATGTTATCGTTTCCGTTTTATGAGCCCCTAGTTCTAGGATGTCCATAAAATCGTTCCAGTCACATCATCTCCCAGATACTTAATGAAAGAAAGGCAAACAGCCAAAATAAGAAGGCTCAGTTTTCTAGCTTTTGTGCTACCCTTACTCTCTCTCCCCACCCACAGAAGGCCAGCTTTTCTCTTTGGCTAGACTTGTGCTGGCTCCAGGGACACATGGCATTTGAGGGATGGGGTTGCTGGACTGACCCTCCCTCACTGGGTTGTTGAGACCGCGTGGCCCCGGTGGGGAGGGAACTGCAGAGCCCTGAATGCCCCTGGCTTGTCCCTATCCCTGGCTGCACTCACCTTTTTGACTGCTGCAGGACCAGGGGGGCATCCAGGGCTGAAAGGTTGGGCTTGGCCTTATGGAGCCAGCCTGTGAGGTCGTAGCGCACGGGGTCCTGTCCTAGCTGGTGGAAAATCTCGAACTGGAGGGGCTGCTCACAGGACCGGAGGGCAGAGGTCCCTGAAAGCAGACCTAGCACATGAGTGTTGGGGCGTGCAGGGGGCGGTGGGGGCGGTGACACTCCACAATCACTTGGCAACACCAACAACACACTTTTTTCATTTAAGTATATTTCCAGGTAGCGAAAGCTAACAGTTCTGGGCACCCGCATCACTCCTGGTGTACGCATGTCCACGCATTATTTCTAACCTAGAATCTATTCCTCCTGCTTTCTGAAACACAGGATATCTGTTTTCCCCAAATATCTTCAGTGCATACAGTGTTGATGATTTTTGCCATACCCATGTACCACCTGGGTTGTTATTTACTTGATATTTTCTTTAAATAGGCCAACATTTATAAACAGGTGAATCCACTTCATAATGAAGCATTACACGACAGGTTTGGTGTGCATGCTCTATTTTCTGGAAATAAGTATACAACCATTAAATATTTTGAAAATATTTGTGTGCCACCGAAAAGCGTCCTGAATGGTACCAACCAATTAAAGGCATAGCATACTCTTGGGAGATGTTGACACGCACTTGGTTGCGGGGTCCAGGCCAGAAAAACAAAAAGGCCTGGAGCTTCGAGAGAAGGCCTGCATTCAAGTCCTGACGCTACCATTTACTACTGTGTGACAAGGGCCAAGCATCTTAAATCACTGACCCTCAGTCTCTTCCCTTATAAAATGTAAATTATATATATACCTCCCAGGATGGCACAAAGCTTAAAGGAGATAATGTGCTTAAAGTATGTTAGCATGGTGCCTGGCACTCAGCTGTCACTCGGTAAACTGTAGTGGGTGTCACAGCCATTTCTTGCATTCGATCTTATGCCAGTGTTCTAGAGCCAAGTGCTCATCTCCAAATCCTAGCACTCAGCATACTGCCTGGTACATGAATGGAGTCCAGGAGTACATGTGGAAGGAAGGGAGGAAGGGACTGAGGGAGGGGGAGAGGGAAGGTAGGGATGGGGGGAGGGAGGGAGGGTGGGATCCTGGTCATTAATCATATCGCTCTACTTGCAGTGATGCTCTTGGGTTGAGTAATGGCCCCAGACCCATTACCCTCAGGAGTGGTCATACTGTTCCGGTTCTTGTACGTATTCTGAATGTCCGTGAGTTCCCGTCTTCCTCCTGTCAACGTGCCAGCATGTTCCAGGGCCCCCATCCCTCCCTCAAATGCTAATTTGCCACTTCTATGCCGCAGTGAGGGAGGAAACACGAAACTCGCATCTCTTGGAACTCCGTACACAGTCACCGCAGTCGGAGAGTCTGCAGGCTTCCGACGAGCACGGGACACAGGTTCTGCATGGGCTTGGCTTCCTGGAGGTCTTTGAGCTCGATACCCAGCTGACTGAAGTTACCAGCAAGGGAGGCTTCTAGTGAAGTCAAGTGTCCCGTCATCAAGGGCTTCCAGGAGGCCTTTGGAGCCATGCAGTCCCTGCCCTCAAGGGGTCACCTTCCAATGAAAGCCAGGTGACACAGCGCCCACCTGGGTCTGGCCTGTACGTCCACGCTGCCTGTACAACGTCCGAGGTATCTGTTTGCATGGCCACTCCCCAGACTGGACTGGAAGCAGCTTGAGGGCAGCGACCATGTTCATTCATCATCATGTCTAGCGGCTAGCACAGAGCTGGGCTCTGAATGAGGACCCCAAGAGCATTTGGGGAGGGGGGCCAAAGGTGAGAGAGTCCTGTTTGCTGAGACCCCACCGGCCTCTGCTGGACATGCACTCAGGCATGATGTCACCTCTCGGGTCCCTGAAGTGAGCATTGCTGGGCTGGTTTTCTAGAAGGTAACACTGAGGTTCAGAGATGAGACCACTTGGCTAAAGTGGCACAGCTCGTGGGGCAGAGCCAGGATGAAGACACTGGTCTGATGGCCCAAAGCCTGTGTTCATCCCCGTTGGTGGCCTGATACACAAAGAGGAGAAGCGTCACATTTCCTCCCGGGTTCGCCCCAGGAAACCACTCCCCGGCTCCCAGGGGGCTGCTCTGCTCGGTTCTCTCACTCTTCCCTTTCTTCAGGAGGTGGTTTCAACACAGTTTGTTCATCCAAGCATTTCATGGGCAGTGTTTGCTCTCAGGAGCCCCATACAGAGCCTGACCCAGTATATCTCTGTTGTGGCCCTGCACCATCACCTCTCCAGGACCCCAACCCCCCCAGACTGGGGTTGGGGCTTCTGGGGCACCGTGCCCCCGGCAACCACCCTCTATGTCTGTGCTGCAGAAGCCTGTCACCTGACTGTCGGCTGGTCCTGTGCTCCACGGGGCTGCCCGCTGCTCACCCAAGACACTCAGTGGAGAGGTAACAGCAAGCGCTGGGTTACGAGACAGCATTCTCATTAACTCAGAGCTCATCAGAAAGCCCTAGAAACAAAAGACCTTTTTTTTTTTTTTAACCAAAATATCTGAAGTAATGAGTCTATCTCTGTCTGGTCAGGACAACAAATGTTAACAGTACCCTCCTGGGAGCGGCCAGCACCAGAGCATCCTGCTGGGGGTGTCTGGGCGTGGCAGGTCAGGCCTCACAGGAGGAGAGGGGACCACAGATCTCTGCGGATCCCTGCCTGCCCCCACCATGCCCTATGTGACCTTCTCCTTCTGAGCCTCCTCTGTGTCATTTGCCTGAAAGTCAGGACAGGAAACATCCCTTTGGAGAAATCCACCTCCTTTGATTCTGGATTGGGGTCTTTTTCCATATTCATCTCTTCTATACCAAGGATTTGTTGGGGTCTTCGGGCCAATGCCATCCTGGGTGCTGAAGGGGGGCAGCTAACCCCTGCCCTGACGAGCTGACGTTCCCGTGAGGACAGATGCGAGCTGTCTGGCATGAGGGCTGCAGGGGAGACAGGAAGAGCAGGGGAAGGGGGGCCCAGGGTACGGGTGGAGAGAGGTCATTACTTTTCACAACATGGTCAGGCAGGCCCCTGAGACCCGTAGGAGGTGAGGGAGCCGGTCACGTGGAAACATGGCGGAAGAGCATTCCAGGCAGAGGGAACTGCCAGTGCGAGGCCCTGAGGTGGAAGTGTGCTCGGCAAGTTTGAGGAGTAGCCAAGGCAGCGGGGTGGCTGGAACAGTGACTGGAACAGAGCAGGTGAGGAGAGAGGAAGGGAAAACAGCAGATGTCCACAGACGCCCTGCTGTGTTCCAGGCCAAGAGGAGACAGCAAGGAGCATAGGTGCGCCCTGTGCGCTCCACGGTCACACAGGCTGGTCGGGGGAAAGAGGACAGGAAAGTGAATGAGCCCCGAGAGGCCCCTGAGGGAAAGAACCAGGGAGTCAGGCTGGGTCAATGGAGCTACAGAAGGAACAGCTTCAGACAAGGCCTGGAAGGTCTCTGAGGAGGGGCCCTCTAAGCACAAAGGGGAGGGAGGAGGATGTAGAAGGGCTTTGCACACATTAGTTCCTCCATCCTCACACGAGCCCCCTGGGGGGGGGGTGTCACCATTATTCCTATTTTACAGGCTGCGGAAGTGGCTTCCCAGAAGTCACACACATTGCCCTCAAGTAGTAGAGTTGGGATCCAGCCCAAATCTCTGGGGTTTAAAACCTTGCTGAGCTTTTTTTTTTTTTTTTTGTAAAGATTTTATTTATTTATTCATGAGAGACACAGAGAGAGAGGCAGAGACACAGGCAGAGGGAGAAGCAGGCTCCATGCAGGGAGCCCGATGTGGGACTCGATCCCAAAGGCAGACGCTCAGCTACTGAGTCACCCAGGCGTCCCCGGTTGAGCTTTTAATAGCTCAGGCTTCTGGCTTCCTGAGGATCTGAGGGATGTTCCTCCTCCACTCCACAAAAGCACTCCCAAGCCCTGGTGTCATTCTCCAAATATAGGGGCTGCTTTCAGAGCCCAGAGAAGGGTGGCAGGTCTGTGTGGCCTTTGGAGACAGGACTCCCAGGCCCAGCACTTGCTCTCATTTTGGATGCCTCCAGGGCCCTATAAGCCACCTGGCTTCTCTGAGGCCTCAGCGACCCTGCTGTGGGGTGCATTAGCACCCACAATCCGACGCTTAGACTAAGGGTTCACTCCTAGCCATTCTCTCTGCCTCTCCATCCTCATTCCCCAGCTGGTCAAGAGGCAGGTGTACTTCAGAGGATAGAGGTGACCTCGAGAGAGGAGAGGTAATCATCCCTGGGAGCCAGTAAAGCTCTAGGACCCTGCAAGGTGACAGCAGTCCGGGGCTGCATCATGACTTGCTCGGCTCCTGGGCACTTTTGTCTTCATAGGCTGCCCCTTCTTCCATTAAAATATATAAAAGTTATTGGGGCTCCTGGGTGGCTTGGTGGTTGAGCATCTGCCTTTGGCTCAGGTCGTGACCCCGGGGTCCTGGATGTGAGTCCCACATTGGGCTCCCTCTGGGGAGCTTACTTCTCCCTCTGCCTCTCTCTGTATGTCTCTCGTGTATAAATAAATAAAATATTTTTTAAAAAGTTTTATTTCATGACTGTTGATATCAAGGCAAATAATAAAATAATACTAGTAACACATAAGTACCCTATATGAGTCTGCTACAGCTGCCATAACTGGGGATACCATAGCTGGGGGGCTTAAACAATAGAAATGTATTTTCTTAAAGTGCTGGAGGCTGGAGGTGCAAGGCATGGGCAGGGCTGGTTTCCCATGAGGCTTCATTCCTGAGCTTGTAGCTGGCTGTCTTCTCCCTGTCTTTTTGCTCCATGCACATCTGAGTCCTGATCTCTTCTTTTAAGGACACCGGTCACATGAAATTAAGACCTCACCTAACTTTAATGACCATTCTAAAGACCCTCTCTCCAAAAACAGCAAATGCAGGCACATTCTGAACTCCTGGAGTCTGGGACTTCCACACATGGATTTGAGGTGGGATACAAGTCAGCCCATACCTAACACACACGTACACGTATACATACACATACATGTACATATATACACATATACATATATATCATATTTGACCTAAAAGTTCATTTTTTTCTTCTTCTTTTAACAGAAATTAGAACATGTGCATGGGCCCCTAAACGCTCTGTGCCTGGCGAAGTCAGCCCTGGGACGACCACATTTGTGAGGCCAAATCTTCTGGGATTCGTTTGGGTACTGGTGTCCTGAGCTTGCACTGGGGAGAGTAGCCAAAGCCCTCAGATGTTGCCGTGGTTTCTGCTCAGAAAGTCTGGTCCTGATGCCAGTGCAGGAAAACTCTGTGAATGTCCCAGAGAGAGGCCTCAGCTGGTCCCTTTAGGGTACAGGTTTTTGCTGTCACTAGCCCAGCAGACAGTAGCAAAGAGAGCTGTCATCTGTCTTTCTCCAATTTTTTTTCCGAGTTTCCCATAAACTACTCCAGGTGGACGCTTACCCCAAACATTCCATGGAAACGGCATTTGTCCCAGTTGCCAATGACCTCCATGTGGCCAAATCTATGGCTATTTCTCTGCCACACCTCACCTGAGAGGCCAGGTGAGGCCAGTACCCTCCCTCCTTCTGTGGCTTCCAGAGTGCCACACTCTCTCAGCTTCCTTCCTGCCTCCTTGGCTGCTTGTCCTCTGTTGCATTTCCTGGTCCCTGGCCTTATCCCTAGGCCTTGACACTGGAGTGTCCCACGGCTGAAGCCTGGACCATCTTCTCTGCCAACCTGGATCATCTTAGTGATCTCAACCAGAATTGTGGCCCCCAATCCTCACAGATTTCCTCATTTTATCATCCATCTCCTCTGCTAGAATGTCAGCCCCATGGAGACGGAGATATTTGTCCTCTTTGGAGATGTATGTCCTGCCGTAGGACAGAGGCTGCCACATGTTAGGTGCCCCATAAATACTGCTGAATGAATGAGCCAGGCCAGTGGGGACCAGGAAGATCTCAAAGCGGATCTGCCTTCGTTGATGCCTGAGGGCATCTGGGTGGAGTGGAGGGGGGCAGCAGTGTCACAAGAGAGATTTCGATCCAGACAGACGTCGTTTTGCATCTGCCTGCTGACACTCCCCCTCTGGGTGACCTTAGACATCTCTACAAGCATCCCTCTGGAGCTCAGTGTCCTCATCTTGGGGGAGAAGAGTATCAACCACCAGACTGATGACAGAATTTGATTAGACGGCCTCCATGAAGCTCTGAGCACCGTGCCAAGTGCGCAGAATGGACATCACTCCTCCAACCCCTTAACTGACGGGGATAACAGTCTTCATCGCCATCAACAGCTCGGTGCTCATCCATCAGCGCTCCCTCACTACTCTCAGAGGCTGAAAACAAAGCTGATACCTCTCTCACCCAATCATTGTCGCAGAAATCCTGGTGAAAGGCAGGTGACCCCCGCCCCCCAGCCCTCTTCATGTGAGCAGTCCATCTGGGGTTATTCGAGGCTTGCTCAGAGTCACATTGGTGAAACATGGAGAGTCAGACTTGAACTTGGGGCTGAATGAAGCCAAAGCCCGCATTCAACCTGTGGTTCCATCTAGATGTCATGATTTCCCCTCCCCCCCCAGTCCAACTCCTTGCCAGGTGCTGTGGGTTCCACCTGCTAAATACCCCCAGGCTCCGCCCACCTCCCTGACTGCCTTCCATACCACCACATGCATGAACTTTCCAGAACATAAATCTGACCATACCTCCTGCTGCCTGGAATCCTTCATGGCTTCTCAGAGCTCTAGGGCTGAGACTAATGTTTTTTGTGTGGCTCACAAGGGCCTCCAGCGGTCTGAGCCCCAACAACATCTCCAACCTTGTTTTCCTGCACTGTATCTCCTCTTCTTTGGCAGATTTGCCTGCACGTCTGTCCCCCCGAGACCCTCTGGCTCCTGGAAGAATTTGGTCTGCCTGACAAGCACCAGGGTCTTTCATCTAAGGTTCACCAGACAGGGACAGGCTTATCTGTTTGCTTGTCCAGTCTTTCCCCCCATGTCCTCCCCCGATGAAGACATGGGCCACATCTCATGGCTGGCTCATCTGGGTAGTGTGGTGCCCAGCACACAGTAGCCAGTCAATACATGTGTTGACTATATTGATAATTGGTTGATAAATGATTGATTGAATAGTGATTAATAAATAATTAAATTGATTGATAAATGTCATTCATTAATAAATGAATGAAAGCACACACAGGCATAGGCACAGACATCTATGCACTCAGATGCCTCCACACCCCACCTCACCTCGTACAGGCCTTATTGGGGCTTTCTCTGCAGCAGACAAGGACAGATTCAAACTCCCGGGCTGGACAGAATGCCCTTCTCCCTTTGTCCTTTGCCTTGACTCTCTTACCTCCGGCCCCAGCTCCTTTCTTCTCAAAGGCCGCACAGAGACGTTCGAGCACCACGCTGTCACTGGAGCCCTCCACCCGGACCTCTTCATCCAAGAGCCAGAAAAGGCCCCTGGCATCCTCAGCACCTCCAATGGCTGGTAAGCGGACCTGGGGGAAGATTCCAGGATCACCGTGGAGCCCTGATCCCAGACAGAGGCTGGTCCTGGGCTTCCCTTCCCACCTCTGGGAGTCGGAAGATCTGAGTCCCTGGCATCACGCCTCAGACGTGCCGGCCCACATCCATGCTCCCACTCACCTCCAGACTCCGGTATGGAAACCTCAAAACTATTACCCCCTGCTTCAGGAGGTCCGAATCCGGCCTCTGTCCTCACCTCCTGTGTGACCTTGGGTAACTTACTGCACCACTCTGAGCTCATTTCCTTTTTATGTAAAATGGTGACTGCCGATACCTTGTCAGAGGGCTGCAGCGGGGAAGTAACAAGGGAACACACTCTGTGAATCATGCATTCTAGATACACGCAGGCGGCTGTGTATATTTGTGCACAGCCAAACATCAAAGGATTAATTCCATCTGCATCACTTCTTAGAAGTCTGTATTTTTTTAAACTAAGATCTTAAGTGGAAAGTGGGGTGTTGAGTACCCAAAGAATGTTCTAGAAGAGAAGGCGAACTTGGCTCAATAGCATAGGCATGGGAATTTGAAATCCAGTCATGAGCTTCAGAAACCATCTAGGCAACTCTGAAGTTTTGTTTCTAGGAACCAGAGAGCCCTGGAGATGCTAAGCAGCTCATCTGAGGCCCACAGTGAGTCGGCATCACCAAAAATGTCACCAAGGGGTTATGGAGGAAATGCATATGATGCATGGGGTGACTGGCTGTCCCTTGGCGACTGGGACTGAGGGACCTCCCAGAGCATGAGGATTTCAGAGCTGTAGCCAGCAAAGTCACTGGCAAACCAGGGCAGCTGGGAACCCCAGCTGGGAAATATTGGGCCTTGCCCCCAAGAGGCCCAGAAAGGACAAGGGACATATCCAGGGTCACACAGAGAGTCACAGGGGCAGAACAGGAACCAGATCCCAGATATCCAGAGCCTTCACCTTGCCTTTCTTTACGGGGCTGAATTTAACAGCCAGCCCATCCTCAGAAGGTAGCTATTCCCAGCCACTGCCCCAGCGTCCAAGGAACCCCGTGCCCCCACCCCTCCTCCCACTCCTCACACTGCCCAGGTCACCCCTCCAGGCCTGCCTCTTCCAGGTCAGGAAGCACAATAGGGAGGGGGAACCAGCCCAAGAGGTGCCAGCTGGAAGCATAAACAGGTAGTGACCGGCAGGGCTCATGGACAAGGGTGCTTTGCAGGAGCAGGTGCAGGCCACTAGGAGCCAAGAGAAGGCTTGGAAGAGAAGGCCAGGGGTGGCCAACAGGAGACAAAGAATGACAAAAGTGGCAGCCTCACATGGCAGGAGGAAAATGTGACCTGTGGGACACCTAGCACATGCCATGCACCCTGCCAGCTGCTCTGTGTGCCACATCTCATAAACATTCACAACCATCCCAGAGCATGCTATTGTTCCCATTTTAGGGACGGAAAAAACTTGAGAGACCCAGAGATGTGAAGGGATTTGCTCAAGGTCACTGAGATTGGACCAGAACCGAGTGAGCTGAGCGAAATGGTTCGGGGCAGTTCTGAGGGACAGTTGAGCAGAGGAGGTCTGGGGTCACCCCAGGGAGCTCTCGGGATAGGGACAGTAAAGACTCAGGTATACCTGCAACCTAAAGCCTGTAAATGTGTGGACCCAGCGTTGCCCCCATTTTCCATCCACCATCGGCCCCTTCCCCCAGGCTCTTCCAGATATGGCACCTGCATCTGAACACCAGACCTTTCCCCCAGGTGTCCCCTCAGCTCACCACGGGCTGCCAGGTGTGAGTGCTGGCGAGACGTGGTGTCAGACATCAGGTAGAGAGGTAGTTCTCAAGCTGAAGGGGTTTGAGGATTCATCACCCGGGACCACACCCTCCGACCAGGCGGAGAGGGGTTCACCAGCTTCAGCGGTTTTAACAATGCCCATGGGTTTCCAAAGGCCAACAGCAGTGACAGCTAGTGGCTTAAAAGCTCAAGTCATCTTGTTATTTGCCACGTGGTGTCTGAGAGCCTCGGTTTGCTGGGCCCTGCCTTACCTGGGAAGGGTTCTGGTCCACTACAGCCACCGTGGTCCCCGGGGAAGTCTCTGGGAGGTCAAAGGGCACGGAAATACCTTCCTGGAAAGTGACAAAAGTTCAGCATTAGTTCCTTCTGTGAGCTAAACAGGGTGGAAAACTTCTGGAGGAGGAGAGATAAGTGAGGGCTGTCACCTCCCCTTCACCTTTTTTTATTATCATTTTTAAATCTTTTTTTTTAAAGTAAGTTCTACAGGGCACCTGGGTGGTTCAGCAGTTGAGTGTCTGCCTTTGGCTCAGGGAATGATCCTGGGGTCCCGGGATCGAGTCCCAAATGGGGCTCCCTACATGGAGCCTGTTTCTCCCTCTGCCTGTGTCTCTGCCTCTCTGAGCCTGCCAGGCGCCCACATTATTTTCTAATCGTGCGGCATAAAAATCTACCTTTCGGTGTGCACAGTGAGCGGCATTAAGCTCACTCATGTGTTGTGCAACTGTCACCGGCCCTCACCTCCAGAACTTTTCCATCTTGCAAAGCTGAGACTCCGTCTCCATTAGACACTGACTATCCACTCCCTTCCTCCCCCTCCAGCCCCTGGCAATCATCGTTCCACTTTTCGTCTCTGTGAATTTGACTGTTCTTAAGTATCTCATGAGTGGAGTCATACAGGATTCATCCTTTTGTGATGGGCTTATTGCACTCTGTATAGTGTCCTGGAGGTTCAATCTACGTTGCAGAATGGGTCAGATTTTCCTTTCTCTTTATGGTTGAATAATAAGGAGCCCATCGTGTGGATAGATCACATTTCTTTACGCCCGCACCCACCCACAGACACTTGGGCTGCTTCTACCCTTTGGCTACTGTGAGCAATGCTGCCGTGCACATGGGCATATATGTTTCTATTCAAGAACTTACTTTCAACTCTTTTGGGTTAGATACCCGCGGTTAGAACTGCTGGATCATAGGGTAATTCTAATTTTCTTTTTTTTTTTTTTTTTCAGAAAAATAGCATACTGTTTTTCACAGCGGCTGCTCTATTTTATAATCCCACCAGCCAGGCACATGGGTTCCAATTTCTCTACATCCCCTCCCACGCTTGCTGCTTGCTATTTTCTGGGGTTTTTGATCTTATTCATTCTACAGGGTATGAAGTGGTATCTCAGTGTTTTGATTTGCAGTTCCTTAAATTTTGGATGCTTATTGGCCATGTGTCTGTCTTTTTTTAGGGGGCCGGCAGGGAGGAATATCTCTTCAAATCTTTTGCCTTTTTTTCCAATCAGGCTATTTGTTTGTTTGTATCCTCACCGCTCAGGCTTTGGATGAGAAGAAAGGGGATAGACTAACATTCCAATAACATCCAGACACGTTCATCCTGCAGGCTCATCAGCAATTGCGGTGAGAACTTTATCAGAAGCTAGTCACTCAGTCCAAACTTTTCTAGTATTTACTGGGGAACTCACAAGTGCTGGGCCGAGCACTGGGTGTCAGAGGCAGCATGCACAAACTATGGTTATCGACGATCGCCATACAAAAGTCATCGGAAATGTCCAGGTGAGGCTGTGCATGAAGATGCCCGTCACAGCGTTGTTTACAAGAGCATCATCGTGGAAATCACCCAGATGCATAAAAGAGGGGTGAGACAGCATTGGATGTAACCAGTGAAAAGCATGATTGCTAAAAGTTGCAAATGGAACAAGAATACGTGAATAACACAGGAAAGTAGCAGACAACAAAATCGTGTGTAGGGAAGGATCGGAAATCTGCAGAGAGGACAATATATGGAAAATTAAGTGGTATAAAGTACAGACAGCAGCAACAGTGCTTGCCTGTGGGTGGTGGGGCTCCTAAAGGAGGTTGTTTTCTGCTTAGGGCCAGTCCCATGCACTTTCCAGTTTTTAAATAAAGAACATGTGTTGCTTTTATCATCAGAAATAAGCAAAAGGGTAGGCACCTGGGTGGCTCAGTCGGTTAAGCATCTGACTCTTGGTTTCAGCTCAGGTCATGATCTCAGGGTTGTGAGATTGAGCCCCATGCCAGGCTTCGCACTCAGAACAGAGTCTGCCTGAGATTCTCCCCCTCCCTCTCTCTAAAAAGAACAAAAAAAACCCACAAAAAAACATTCTTTCCCCTTCTATGTATCTCACTCTTGCATTTTCTCCCATCAAGAAGTGGAACCTATTTCCCCATCCCTTGAGTCAGGGCTCAGCTCCGGATTTGCCATGACCCACTGAATACAGAAGTGATGTCACCAGTTTCAAGCCTAGGGCTCAAGGGGCCCTGCACACTCTTGCTTGTCTCTTGGAACCCTGCCCAGCACCATGAGCACAGCCTAGGCTAGTCTACTAGTGGATAGGACATTCCTGGCACACAGATGAGTCATCCCAGCCAAGGCCTGCCTGGATCAGCTCATGGCCAGCTGACCCCCAGACACAGGAGAGAGCCACCCAGGACCATCAGAGCCATCTACCCACCCTGAACCTGCCCACAGACACAGAGTTTACTCAGCCAAGACCAGAGAGCTGCCCAGGCAATCCAGAGACTTGTAAGCAATAACAAAAGGTAATTTTCAAAATCACTATGTTCGGGGGCACGTTATTATCTAGCATTATTGTGGCAATTGATAACTGATACGGGAATATTTTTATTTCTATTTTACATGTGATAGAATCAAGAATCAGAGAGAGTGAGTGACTTTCCTACAGCCACATGGCCAATAAGTAAGAGGGTCAGGCCCCAGGGCTCATCATTTTAGTGTCACGTGTTTCAGATTTATCCACGTTGGTGCTTTCATGTTCATTGCTGTGCAGACTCCAACCAAAAAGATAAATAGATGTAAAAAAAAAGGGACCATAATTTGAATACCATTATCCAATTGATAAGCAAGATGGTCATTTCCAACATCATGCTATTAGCATTTGCTGGAGTCAAAGAGGTCCTTCCCCTTCAGGGAAGAAAGAAGCAGTAGATATGATGGGGCCATCCTGGGTGCTGGCAGCGTTCCACTTTTCACCTGGGTGGTACGTGCATGAGTATGTTCATTTGGATAAATTCTGTGGAAATGTAATATTTCCATTTAAACTTAAAAAAAAAAAAAAACAAGAAGAGAAGGGCTGGCAGGAACGTGCCTATGCGAGTTTCCTGGTTCACATTCTTAGGGTCTGGAGGGTGGCTCCTAGGAGGGAAGTGCATCGAGGACTTTGTTATGTATTGCCACCCTAGGAACCCAAGGTCGGGCAAACCCTCCCATCCAGAGTGTTCCCCTGGCCCCAGAGCACAAAGGGCTTTCCACAGGGAAGATGCAAGCCATGTTGGATGAGGAGCATCCAGCTCGGGCAAAGTGGGTGAGGAGGAACAGGTCACCCCAATGAAGGTGCAAAGCCTGGGGGGGGGGGGCAAGTTCCCTGGAGTTTGCGGACTGTAGGGAGCAGTGCATGGAGATAGGGGAGCGGCAGGGGTCTGGGGAGCCAGGCCTGGAGTCAGGGTTTCCTTCAGTGGCAGGCCAAACAGGAGGAAGCCAAGGGTTACCGAAGGACCGGACCGTTCCCGCAACCCTGGCTGACTCACACGCTCCCCAGAGCCCTGCCGATGGCTCCACGGCAGCCAAGTCGTACCTGCCGGTATCGCTCCAGTGTGGAGACAAAGGTCCGCTGGTGGCAAAGCAGCTGCAAGCGCTCATGAGCGTAATTGTGGCACAGCTCCTCGAAGGTGGCAGCCCGGTCCTTGCACTGGTGCCGCGGGTTCTGAAAGCCCGGAGAGTCCACCACCATGATGGAGGCCATGGAGAGGTGGTGGGAAGAGAAGGACCTGGGGGGAGAGGAGAGAGGCCTCAGGACCACGTGGGACCCTAGAGCCCAGATGGCCCCCGCCCCCCACTCCCCCATGACAGATATGGAGAGACTGAGGCAGCATGCTGGGTGGGCCTGAGGATCTGGCAATCTAGGGCCAAAATGAGGCTCACTGCTTACAGGCTGTGTGACCTGGGCAAGTTACTTAAGCTCTCTGAGCCAATGTGTCCCCAGCTGTTAAATGATTGTAGGGATGAATAGGATGATGCTAAGGGGTCAGATTCAAGGTTGAATCACGGGAGTCAAAGTGTGGAAAGTGCCTCTCAGGGATATAGCAGGCCTTCAGGAAAGGCTCTTTCTCCACCAGGCCCACAGTGGAGAAATGCCTTGCTTAAGGTCACACTACATATTGTCCATAAACTAGAACCAGAGCCTCCTTGTCTTTCTCAAGGACTTGTTGCAATAGAAAAACAACATGCATTTGGTATTTGGTGCCTCCATTTAAGATATTCTTTCAAGCCCTCTCCTCCTTGGATCATTTTTTTAAAGATTTTATTTATTTATTCATGAAAGACACAGAGAGAGAGGCAGAGACACATGCAGAGGGAGAAGCAGGCTCCATGCAGGGAGCCTGATGTGGGACTCAATCCCAGGTCTCCAGGATCATGCCCTGGGCTGAAGGTGGCGCTAAACCGCTGAGCCACCAGGGCTGCCCTCCTTCGATCATTTTGATGAATCTGTCTGCTCCTCCTATGATCATTTTGATGAATCTGTCGGGGTGGCCAGAAAAGGGATTATTTGAATCAACATGCAGGAGTTGAGAGATGTTGGAAATAGTCACACAAAGGCTCCAACCTTCCTTCTGCAGCCAGGGGGCTGTGTGTCTTGGGAGATCTGCCCAACCTCTCTGGGCCTCAGCTGCAAAAGGGTCAATGACGGACACACCCAGAAGGCTGCTGGGAGGGCTGGAGTTCATGAGACATCCAGGCTCTGAGTGCCAGGTCGGCGGGGGTGGGTACGTGCTTAGTAAAGGTTCCCTGCTATTATTATTAATTATGATTATTATCACGATTGGCCCTACCCTTTGCAGGGTGCTTGTTCGAATCTTAGCTCTTCTGCATTACCTGCCAAGGCTTTCTATCTATACAACGGGGCCAAGAAGATCAACCACCACATAGACATGCGTGAAGATTATCAGTTAACACTCAAGAAACCAGGCACCTACGAGGGGTTCATAGGTGGTGGGGGAGTGGGTTCTGTATCATGGAGGTTTGAAGGATGCGATGAACAGCCCCCCTCTGCAAGCCGAAGCAGCTTCTCCCGCCAGCTGTTCATTCCCTACCCCTGGCACTCCTTCCTCCAAGCATGCACGATCTCCTTGGTTTCTAGATGATGCGTCTGTGGCCTCAGATGGCAAATGCTCCAGTAGCCAGAGAGCAAGTGGATGCAGTGTCCCAGCATCATAGGAGAACCCCTGCTGCTCTGCTGCTCTGCACCAGCCTCGCCCCACTAACAGGCTGACCGAAGCCTAATGATGCCTCCTGCTCTCAGAACCGGGGAGAGAAGCCCTTACAGTGATAGAAATCAGGCTCCTGGCCCCTGCAGCCTGGTAGGCTCCTGGCCCATTCCAAAACGATACCTGGGTTGCTCCCCATCCTTAACAAAGAATTTTAAAAAGAAATGGATGAGAGCGTTGTGGTGAGTTATTCAGGGAAACCTAAAGGTGTCAGGTGGGAGCACAGCACTGTGCCCGCCTTCCAGCCCCACTTCTCTGCGCCTCTGTTACCTCAGCTGTAAAATGGGCACATAGTAAATGATACAAGACATGAAACACACGGAGTGCAGGCCCTTGCCTTTACTTAGCGGGGGCCCCCAAATTATTAGCTTTTATTGTCGGTAGTTTATGATCACCATTAGGAAGAACTGTTAAACACACACTATCTCTTAATCCTTGCAATGACCCTGGCGGAGGTGGGGGCAGAGCTATTTCACAGGAGCTGGAGGGGAGGTCAGAGAGCTGAAATGATTTCCCTTGGGTGACCAAGGGAGAATTGAAACCAAGCACCACCCAGCTCAAAAATTCACTCTTCTCTAGCCACGCCCCCCAAAACCTCACTGTGCTAAAGTGCCTGTGCTTGAGCTTATGTGGGTACCTGTGAAGAGGCTGCCATTACCTGTTGATGAGTGAGATCACAGCCGCAAAGAGCTCTTGGTAGAGGCCCGAGGCCATCCCCTCCACACACTCCACACCTGTCATCTTGAGCCCTGGAGTGGGGAGAGAAGAAAGGGTGGACATCTGTGGTCAGGCCCTTGTGTGAGGCCAAGGACAACATGCCCCAGCAATGGCTGCTGGCTTTAGAGAACCCCCTCCCTCATATTCATCCCTCCACTGCTGAAATCACATACCCATGCTCTTAGAACCAAGTTCAAGTGTCTCATCAGGACTTATGCAGTTCTGTGTCACCTGGCCCTACTTCTGATCCAACAAGCACTCCTACTAATCCCTGGGGGACCAGCCCAATGTCACCTCCTCAGGAGAGCCTGCCTTGACCACCCCCACCCCCGTGAAGCCAGTTCCTGTTCTTACCTTGCTTCTTTTGATTTAATTAATTCATTTTTGACTGAGTAATGATTGGCATACAAAAAGCTACACCTACCTATTTAGTGTTTCCATCCTGATGAGCTTGAAGGTAAGTTACGTCACCACAAACAGTGCCCTGCGCCTGTCAACTCTAGAGAGTTTCCTCCCTCCTTCTTTGTGTGTACATGTGTGATAAGAACACTTCATGTAAGATCTACCCTCTAAAAAAGAATTTTCATCGTGATGTGATGAGCCCTGGGTGCTATACTACATGTTGGCAAATTAAATTTAAATAATAATAAAAAAAAGAAAAAGAAAAAGAATTTTCAGTATACAATACAGTATGGCAGCCGTAGGCTCTGTGCTGCTCAGCGGACATATTCACCTGCTGATCATCTAATTTGTCTACTTACTCATCAGCACTCTAGGATTTATTCATCTTGTGCAAATAAAACTCTACCCTTCAGTCATTCTCTTCCTTTTTTCCCCGTCCCCTCAGCCCTGGGGAACCACTATCACTCTGCTCTCTGCTTTTAAGAGCGTGACTGTTTTAGATTCCGCCTATAAGTAGGAACATGAAGTAGATCATTCAGTCGTAAAAGGGAAAATCCAGCCATTCACTACAACGTGGATGAACCCAGACGACGTCACGCTATGTGAAACAAGCCAGACACAGAAGGACAAAGCTGCCCTTTTACAGTGCTGAGCTCATGTAGTCTTGCTTGTGCAGTTAGGTTGTTGACAACCTCCTCCCTGGCCCCGCACCAGGCTGGGAGCCCCACAAAGATGGGGACAGTCTCTCGGTGAGCTGCCTCCCTGAGCAGCCCGGCGCCTGCCACATAGTAGGCACTCAGAACATTTTTGCCGTTCCCTCTTTCTGGAAGGAAATTTGGCAGTTCTGTGTCAGAAGCCAAAACGTTCATAGATTTGGACTTAATAATTACACTCTCGGGCTTTTATCCTAATGAAATACTCAGAGAAACAAGGATTTCTGGGTACATATGTTCTCCTGATTGTTGATTAAATTGGATGAAAAGCGCTTTTTTTTAAACAACCTGCATACCCAACAATAGCAAATGGGTTAGATAATTTGTAGTCTGTACAAAGGAGTGCTTAAAGCCAGGCATAGACGAATATTGAATGAGAGGGAAAAGCGCCTACCTGTCACATTAGGAGGAATGAAAATGCTTAGCAAACTATTACTGTAGTCATGGTCTCAATTTTGTTTGAACACACACACACACACACACACACACACACATACACACAAGAGTGCACGTGTGACCTGTTAAAATAGCCAGCCTTGATGAAGGTGCATTGAACAAAGCAGAGTGAGAAATTAGGAAGGGATGGTCAGATCATAACTCCTAACCTTTACATTCTGCTTCAATCCATAGAATCAGAAACGTGATTTTCACATCTGCACCGTGCCTGGAGACACAGTTCTGCTTGTACACTCCAGGCAGCCCCCTGCAGCCCCAAAGCACTTCCCATCCCTCCGGTAGCTCCACCCCGAACCTGGGCTGTTGCTAGGCAACCCACAACCTCTCAGCATCTCTCCTAAGCCCATTGCTCCCCTGTCTTTTTCACACCTACCCTTAATACCTTGGCCTGAGAGGTAATTAGTGTTAATGTCTGAATGTGCATGCCCGTATGCTCATGTTTCTGTGCACGTGTGTGTGCTTCCTGCAGGGTGTGAGTGTGTGTGTGAGTGTGTGTGTGGTATATGTTTGTGCATGTGTGTGTACATGGATGTATGTGTGCTGGGTGTATAAGTATGGGGTGTGGGTGTGTGTTTCAAAGAGGAGGAGTAACCGTAAGCATACTCCAGCTCATACCTGGACCTACAAGCAAACAAAAGGTTAGTGGCATCCAAGTGACATTAGTCATCAAGCTGAAGTCCCTGGAGTGGAGCAGCTCTGAGGATCTAAGGGGCCTCTGAGAGGTGGGCCCCAAAACCACAGTTCAAAAACAGTGCTACCCACTAATGCCAGACTCTGCAGTCTCTGGGACAACCACTCTTAGTTCTCAGGGACTCACAGTCCCTGTGCCCTCACCTCCTGCAGCCAAAGCATCTGGTTGGTGGCGGCTGCAGATTTAGGAGCCAGTGGATCATGCTCCAGCAGGTGCCATACAAAGCCCTCTGGCTTCCCCCTACATCAGTTGAAAGCATCCCTATTCCTCCACCCACCTAGGCCGAAATCCTAGAGGCTTCCCTGGTCCCTCTCTTCCCCCCAGGCCCATGCTATCATCTCTAGTGTGAAGCAGACCTTGAACATGCCCTGCCCATCCCAGCTCTACTACCACTTCCTTGTGTAACCACCAGCATCTCATTAGGTGACCTGTGTAGGTTCCTTCATGGTCTCCCTTCTCCCACCCATTCCCCAGGCTTCCCTCTGGCTGAGCCATTTGAAGAACAAGTCAAATCATGGCATTTCCTGCCTGTGCTTCTGCATGGTTTCTCATGGGTCTGAGCATAAAAACCCTAGTTTGCAGAGTCTTATATGAGCTGACCACCACTACCTGGCTCTCCAGCCTCAACTACTACCTCCCAGCCCCTCTGGCCATCACAGACTTATTTCTATTCTTCAAACTGGGAGGCCAGCCTTTCCCCTGACAGGGTAGGGGGGAAAGATCATAACTCCTAACTCCTATGGCTCAATAAACATAACAGCCAGTGGAAAAGTGTTTTCCCCTTGGTACTGCTCACAGTGTCCCCTCTCCATAGCACAGGGTACCCTCCCAGGTTTCAGTAGAACCTTCAGGACCCTGGACAGAGCTACTTGGCCATAGCACTGTGAAGGTAGGGACCATGTCCACTTCGCCCACAGGTGCCTCCCTTGCACCCAGAAGGTCCGCATATAACAGGTCCTGGTAAGTAGGTGAAGGCCTGTTGGAATGTCCACAGGGGCTGGCCCATGGGAGGAACCCAGCCCACCCAGAGAGGCAGCAGTGTAGCACCTGAGCTGGTCTCCTCTTCCTCTGGACCCCGCCGGCTCGGCCCAGATGTCACTTGCTCGATGATCTGTCGCAAGTGGTGCTTGAAGGTGGCGGTGTTCAGCTCCTCATATTCACAGCCCAGGGCCTCAGCTGCATGGTTTGCCCACTCAAACCTCATGAACTGCTTCCGGCCCACTGCAAGAGGGACAAAGCAGAAGTATGGTGGTGAAGTCCTGGGCATGGAGTGGGTGGGCCCCAATGGTCCTCAGGGATCTCACCACTTCCCACCCTCTGGGCCACCCACCCTCAGCAGGGAGCCTCAACAACCAGCCTGGGCAGGGGTCAGCTTTCCCAAGAGTCATGCTTATCCTACTTCCTTGCAATTTGCATTGTTCACTTTTTCAAATCAATTAAAATTATCATGTGGACTCTCTAAATGGAGACTTGGGGAATTGTTAGTAAAAGTGTGATTTGTCCTCTCGTGTATCCACTTACATATCCATCCACTACCCCCTGCTGCCCACCTACCTATCCATTCAACTACCCACTCAGCCACAGACTCAACCATCTCACCGTCCATCCATTTATTCAAAACACACTTATTGAGCTCCTACTGTGCAACAGATAGCATTAGCCACTGGGAAATCAATGATGAGCAAGACAGATAAGGTGCCTGCCCTCACCTCAAGGTGCCTGTGCTTATAATCTATTGAGAAAGTAAGACAATAAATAAGTAAACAAATAGATGAATAAGATAAATTAAGGATAAAATTATAAAGTTTTTCCCCTTTAAGGAGAAAACAAAACCAAGTGATGAGATCAAGAGAAACAGAGAGCATCCCTGTGGATCCATGGCTGTCAAAGTGGGCTCTATCTGAGGATGTGATACCTGAACTGGGTTATGAAAAGTGAGAAGGAGCTGGCTACCTAAAGAACCAGGGGAAGAGCTTTAGAGGTAGAAGGAGGAGACTTTACAAAGACCCTGAGGCAAAAAATGAGCATAGTGTATTAGAGAAATGCTGAGAAGGCCAGGTGGCAGGGATATAGGGGGGGGCATGAGGAGGAATCAAACGAGTTTGAAGACGCAATGAGGAACCACTCTATGAACTATTATAAGGCCATTTAATATCAGAAAGGGAGACAGAACATGAGAGACTCCTAACTCTGGGAAACAAACAAGGGGTGGTAGAAAGGGAGGTGGGCAGGGGGTGGGGGTGACTGGGTAATGAACACTGAGGGGGGCACTTGATGGGATGAGCACTGGGTGTTATTCTATATGTTGGCAAATTGAACACCAATAAAAAATAAATTAAAAAATAATAATTTTTTAAAAAGCCATTTAAGATCAACACCAGCGATGTCTGGGTGGCTCAGTGGTTGAACATCTGTCTGGCTCAAGTCGTGATCCCAGGGTCTGAGGATCGAGTCCCACATCGGGCTTCCCGCAGGGAGCCTGCTTCTTCCTCTGCCTATGTCTCTGTCTCTCTCTGTGTGTCCTCATGAATAAATAAAATTTTTTTAATCTTAAGATCAACAACAAAGATTATACAATATGAACAATGTTTACATTAAATAAAAATCAAATTAGAAAACTGTACTAGAGTATGATGTCAACTGTATAAGTTATTCTAAAATGCTATAAAATGAAATAGTAAGAGTCACCTTGGTGACTCAGTTGGCTGAACATCAGACTCTTGATTGCAGCTCTGGTTATGACCTCAGGGTCGTAAGACCGAGTCCCACATCTGACTCCCTGTGGGGCGTGCAGCCTGCTTAAGATTCTCTCTCTCTCCCTCTGCCCCCGACCTTGCTAAATAAATAAATAAATAAATAGATAAATAAATAAATAAATAGAAAAAATAAATACATCCAAATATTAACAGTCATATCTGACTGTCATAGCTGAGTAAGGGTGTTTTGTGTTTTCTAAATTTTCTACAGGGTTTGCATAGTAACTTTGTAATCCAAATAACAAATTAATGGCTGATTAAAACAAATAAGAGTGTCATCCTTAAATAATTTCCTCCCATTGCTTATCTCCCCATACATGTGTTTCCTTCTTTGAAATAAAAATCACAAGTACCAACAGCCCAGCTTAAGGCAAAATTAGAAATTTAGACAAAGACTTAATGTGGGACTTGGATGCTACCCAAGGAAAAGGAGCTCTGGCCCCAGGTCACTGAGGGCCACAAATCGCCACTGCTTCTTTTTTTTTTTAAGAACTTACTTATTTGAGAGAGAGAGAGAAAGAGGGAGCACAAGCCAGGAGGGGAAGGGCAGAGGGAGAAGCAGACTGCCCACTGAGCAGGAAGCCTGATTTGGGCCTCGATCCCACGACCCCAGAGATCATGACCTGAGCTGAAGGCAGACCCTTAACCAACTGAACCATCCCGGCACCACTAGCCACTGTTTACTGTCATCCTCCTCTGTGCCAGTTACTCAGCCCTGATCATCACAAGAGACAATTCCTATTTTACAGATGATAACACTGAATCTCAGTGTTAATAACACTGAGTTATTAACTCAGTTACCAAGGAGGTAACGTGGTTAATAAAAAGTCCTGCCACTTGCAAAAATGATGAAGAAGGTGATGATGGTGGTGATGAAAGCAGTCACCATTCATTGACCCTATTTTATTCAACATGTCACCTTTGCACAGCTCGTGGCTTTTGGAGTCAGAAAGCCTGCATCAGAGTCCCAGGTGTGACAGGAGGAGAAAGCTCAGTACATGTTAGCTGTAATTACTTATCATCATCATCATCATCATCATCATCATCATCATCATCGTGAAGTCTTCACAACGGTCCCAAAGGCAGTCATATCATTCCCATTTTACAGATGAGAAAACTGACTCAGATACATCACCAGAAATCAGATGGACAGTAAGTACAAGAACCACTATTTCACCAAAATCAATCCTTCAAATATCACTTTTAGGAAATCGGCCATAGCCTTGTGACCCCACATAAGACTCTCTTTAAAATGGACTTGTTTATCTCTCTCACTTAACTAGACACATTGTGAAAGGAAATGTTACAACATTATCTTAAATGAGAACCCGTTGGTTGGAGGGAGTCAATTGAGAGGACGCAACCGCCCCCTTCACCCTCGAGCTGGCCTCCGGGCCACTGGAGGCTCCCCACCCCCTCCCCTGTCCATGAAGTGTACATTCCACCCACGTTCCCACAGCGGAAGCTGTCTTCAAGGACGTAGCCTTGAGTGAGGACGGTGTTGTTGAGACCATCTGGACTGAATATGTGACTCTGTATAAACTTTTAAGGTTCTGGTGGTGGGTGCGGAGATGTACAGGGCTGGCCAGCGGAGGCAAACCTCATAGGTAAGCTCCTTGGCTTATTACACCTGCTGCCCACCAATCTGGAGTGGCCGTCCGCTTTCTTTGCTCTCTCCTTGCCCTCAGTGAGCTTGGGCTAGTTTGCAAACCAACATCATTATCACTTGTCACAAATGGAAAGTAAAGATAAATATAATCCGAGCACCAAAGTATCATTCGATTCTAATTAGTTACCTGGGAACCGTAGGGTGGCTCTCTTTGTCAAAATGCAAGATTAGCGAGTATTAGAGATTTTAAAGACTGTTAGCCCTGAGTGAGACTTCTTTCTTCCTGGGTTGGAGGTTGAAAGGGAATTAAATAAGAGATAGTGTTCTAGATGGGCAATGTCCTGTCCCTCTCCTGCCCTGTCAACCCAAAATAGTCCCCCGCACTCCACTTGCAGTGACCTTCTGTACCTGGCTGAGCCAGGGAGGAATCAAGAAGGGAATTAGCAAAGGCTCTTTCTGAAAGGAGGAGAAGTGAATGCACTCGACCTGACTCCACATCCCGCCTGACAAGGGGGATATTTCTCGGTTCGATCGCTGAGCAGCACCCTGCTGGGGAAATCCAGGGAGCACCCAAGGGAGCTTCACCGGGATAATGCATTTTTAAAAATATTTTATTTATTTATTCACGAGAGACACACAGAGAGAGGCAGAGACACAGGCAGAGGGAGAAGCAGGCTCCATGCAGGGAGCCTGATGTGGGACTCGATCCCAGGACTCCAGGATCATGACCGGAGCCAATGGCAGACGCTCAACCACTGAGTCACCCAGGTGCCCCAGAAAATGCATTTTTGCTTCCAGTTCCCTGAAAGCTGGCTGGTGTACAAGAGCTAACCCATGGGTTCCTCTATCTTTGTTCAGTCATGGGTGGAAGCCAAAGCCTCCTCAATGGGGCCTGAGAAATTTGGCACCTGAGACAGGGACAGGAACACAGACACTGGACCGATAGAATCTGAGTCCCTTTCCCGTTTCCTGCCTTTCCCACTGCCAGTCTTTGGGCAAGCTGCACAGCCCTTTTAAGCCTCCATTTTTTCATCTGTAATATAGTCATAAAACCCCATGCACTTCATAGGGCTGCAGGGATGGGGTGAGATGCTTCCACTTACATGGGAGATACCCAACAGAGTGCCTGGCCCTGAGAAGGCGATCAGTAACTTTCTAGTCCTTTCTCTGCCTGTGAAAATGAAGAGGGCACCACTCACCCAACAGGGATTGTTCCATCCCAGCTGCTGCAGGGACTCCCTGTAGATCTGTCTATCCATAGCTTCAGGAGAGGATTTGGGGATGGATAACGAACCCGGGCACTTCCCATCTGGGCCAACTCTACAGAAAGGCGGACACGTGTTGGCTCAGCACCTCCCACCAACCTACCCCAAAGCCAAGGACAAAGCTGTGCTCGGAATGCCCCCGAGGTTGAAGATTCCTGTCCAAGCGAGGTTCATATACACAATGGCTCCCTCTCCTGAAAAGCCATCACTTAATGAACAAGGACAGCCTTCAAGCAGCAGCATGCGCCGGGCACTGTGCTAAGTGCCTCCTCTGACTCTTCTCCTTTACTCTCATCAAAAGCACTGAGATCATTCAAAGATGGGGAACGGACCCAGCAAGGTCTAGCTCCTGGTCCAAGGTGTTGCAGGGAGCAGGGGCGGAGCAGGATTCCCAGCCTCGTGTGCGGGTCTCAGACTGTGCAGTAGCCACCCACTGGTCTGCTTGAATAGAGTCTGTATGCTCACTGCTCTATCCAGATCAGAGCTGGCACCAGGAGGTGCTCAATAAACATTTGTAAAGCCGGTGATTAAACGATGGAAGCAATCGAGAAAGGAATGCATGCTTCTCCATGATGGCCAGCCCTGCCCACT